AAATAATCCATTTTTAGTCTAAATTCCTGATAGTACTGAGTTGATATAAAAGGGAAGAAAATATAAACGTTATTGCTACAATGATTGTGACTTTGTAGCGGCTTCAATGTGTCTTTAATTTTTACTTATTTCTACATTTGTGCTCACCTATCCAGAGAAAACTTTGAAGGAAGAGATTATTCAGAAAATTTGATTTGGAGAAAGATAAACTTTTGACTAAATATAAGTGAAATGTATATGAAAAAGTAGTTTTGTTTTCCAGAAAAATAAAGGTTTTAGGTTTGAATGAAAAGGTTTGTTACTGTTTTTGTTTTGAGAAATTAATTTCTTAAAAGTATGTTAAAAGAATGAGAAAAAAGTCAATAATTTCATGACATTATAGCCGTATCTTTTCCCCTCCTTTACTAAATTATTTAACCTACAATATAATTTAAAAATATGTTTTTGAACGTTAAAGTTGTAAAAATGTAATTGATGTTGAGTTTGGAGATTGGAGAACCAAAAGGTGTAGTTCAGAGAAATAAACGAGAAAACACACACACACACAATGGGGCAAAGATCCCAGTCCCATGTGGTTTAATTCCTTTTTCCCCATCAGTCTGAAAATGGCAAGTGCAGGTGTCTCACCACAAAATTAGCAACTCAAACGGGGAAGGAAAATTTGGTTGTAATTCGGACGAGCTAATGTGTTGACGATTTGTTGGAGTGCTTGCCCCACTGGCTTGCCACAGCTTTCTCCTATAAGATTTATTGTCAGGGCCTGTGATACTGATACAGAGGATTAAGCTTAAAATTGTAGCCTTTACTTAAGGAAGGAGGGGAAAGATTCGTTCCTGTGAAACGAAATGCTACATGAAACTTTTGAACCAAAGTGAAAATCCAGGACGGACTTTTGATGGTAATTAGCAGATTTTCAAAGATTTCTGTGGTTGTTGAAAGGAAGTCTGCTCTGTGGTGGTGTCATACCATCAGAGCTAAGAATTTACTTGACCTAAAATTCTGTACTGCCAAGTTTACAACCTGGATTGAAGAAGTTTGAGAAGGGGGTGATTCCAAGTTGCTGAGGAAGGAGTTTAGCTTTCTGGCAAGAATTAATAGAGGTTCCATCAAGGAGTTGGATGTCTTGAAACCGTTAGGGTTGGGGTCGTGGGGCTGAGGAGGGTCCAACTGCATCATTAAGCTTATTAAAATCATTCAGAGATTTTTCTGCTGCAGAGCGAATTGCAGATCCCTTCCAGCCCTCCCTTGGCTAATTACATTTTCAGATCTACGCTAATATATGCACACTTTTCCTCCTCCATAGAGGCTGCTGTCTTAGCAATTCATAAAATAACTGTTTATTGAAGAAGGATACATATCTGTTTTTGGTATCACTAGAATCATTTGTGGCCTCATAAGAGTGTGGATTAGAGCTTTTATATTCTTGTACATGTATGTAGGTTTCATATTAAATACCAATCTTTGGTCGAGGTAACAATAGCTGACAGTGGGTGTGATGGTGTAGCCCATTGTCTGCTCATGGAAAAACAGCCTGTGCTCTCCAGACCAACAGAATCACCTTCACAATCCCGGCATATTCTCCCTGCATAGTTATTTGTTGATGAGCAGCACATCAGAGCCCAGGCAAGGGCCGTGGATGCCGACCTGAGTCAGAGGCTAAGTATGACTGGATTTTTCCTCAGCAATGAAAGAACCTTGTAGAAATGAGGTTGTCATAGCCATTTCACATAAGGAGCATATCTTTTAAAAATGTTTTGAAAGAAAAGGTAGAAAACTTAAATATGTAAATATCAAGTTATATCACTCATATTAGACATATGTATCTTTTTTTCTCATTCCCCTGTTGCCACTCTACTTTCATATATTAGTCTGCACAAAATCCTATTTTACGAAAGCATGGTATTCTTTTTTCTTTATTGACTATAAGCAGTGTATCATACACCTGCTAGGACTTAATTAGTGTTTGTTTAATAATGATTCATTAAATTGACCCAGTACGGTTTTACATTGCTTTTCTCCCATCCCATTATATTTCTACAAAATTGGTTTTGCGTCCTGGCTTTCGCAATCAGTATTTTATCAGGTGTGCGTAGTTGAGACTGTTTGCAAGGGAGGTTACGTAACTTGTTGGTTCTGAGAGGAGTTTCTGACGTATGTTTTTCTGTTACTCAAAAGCAAATGAACGCTTGACAAGTAGCAGCTTTGTCTTATTTCCTCAGGGCAACAGAGAAAAACTGAACAAAAAATACTTTCCATTTTGAATAGGCAAGAGGCAGTAGCAATCAGCTCTTCTCTGATTAAACTAGATATTTCCGTAAACGATTCTTCCTATGTAATCTGGACTGAATTAAGTTCACTTTCATGTTGATGACATGGGGGTCACTCATTTATTCATTTTGGGTAACTATTAATGACAAAAGTTTTTACTATTTTAACATTTTCAAAGAAGGTTTGTTTATTGGTTGGCTTGCTTATTCCCTTTCATGCTGTTTTGTATTTCCCTTATGCTGTTTTTTTTTTTTTAGAAATTTCACATCATGACCATATTACCAGAAAAGAGTATTTAAAAAAAGTAAAAGCTCACCACAATCCTATCACTCTCCAAAATTTCTTTAGTTTTCTTGCTTTCTTCCAGATCCTTTCTCTTAAATATGCGATAGTTATCAAATTTGTCTTTTTTGATAAAAATTGAGGTTAATTAACTACTTTATCAAGAGAGGATTTTATTTAAATGGCAAACAGGTGTGCTTCATTTTGTATATCAATTGTTTTCTAAAGTTGTATGTAACATGTCCTGTTTTTGCACGATCTTAAATTGTTACTGAAATTCAGTGGGTCTTCATATCTGAGCATTTTTCAGTTGCAGTGGTCCCTAATTCTTGATCTTTGCAGATTTCTGTATAAAAATGCTTAAATGTTACGGAAGGTCATCATTTAGTACACAGCCTCAATTCTCTCCTCCTCACCTCAATTGGCCTCTTTATAACTTCAGCTTTTCACCTCTTAATTCTCTTTTAAGCAGAATACTTCCCTACCTTATCTTCTAGATGTGTTATATGAGAAATAGCTATTTAAGAGTTAGGGGTGGAAATTGATACACATGGGATTTATAGAAGTATTGGTGGGTTTTTACTTTGGAAGCCAAAATCTTGGCAGAATTGGAGCTGTCATTTATATTTGCAAATTTTTCAACAAGTATTTGTGAAGTGTCATGCTTGGCACTCTGTCAGGTTGTGTTGAAGATTTTGATGTGTACAATTTTATTTTTACTGTCAAGGAACTTTTCACTCATTTTCATTTTTCTTTTAGGATTTTTCTCTATATTCTTTGAATGAGCTGCTTTCAGTATTGAGGACTTGCATTTATGTTGATGGGTGAATGATGTTCAGTGAGAAACTTTATCTCCTAGGGTCAGTGTGAAACTGGATAGTCACATCCCAGAAATGTCTCTCTCTCTCTTAGGAGCAACGAGCCTTTTAGAGTTAGTATAGAAAATTTATCTTATTTTATTTATTTTTAGTAATAGTTTTATTGTACAGATATTAAGGTTGAGAAATGTTCGAGTTTATTTTGTAGGATAGAAAGCTCTAAGTTCTTCAGAGAAGATGCCCAGCTGTGATCTCATGAGTTTTGCTTATTGATAATGAATATTATGAGATTGAGAGGATGGTATTCAAGTTCTGTAGATCACTGTGCAGAGAAGTGGCAAAAATGAATTTGAACTTCTAAAAGTTAAATACATTTGATTTTATTGACTGATAAGTTGCATATACTATCATATTCCCTATTCCTTAGTTATTTCCTTGTCTGCTGAGTTCTGTGTCTCTGTAGACAAAGCCATGTAGGGGTCTTTACTTTTTATATTTTTGGCACATATGTTGTGCATATTCATTGGAGATAAATGAGAAATACATATTAGCAATATCATACACATTATATGGAATACATAGAAGTAAAAATTAGCCCACCTCTCAAAGATCAGTACTGTTAATATTTTGATATATTTTGCTTCAGACTTTTTACTGTAATATATGTATTTTTTTCTTTCCTAAAATAAAACTAAAATCCATACTTTGTTTTATAACCTGATCATTTTTTCCACTGTTAGATTGTTTGAGCCTCTTGGATGTGGGGAGTTAGACTTTCTGTCTGCCTTATTCATTCCATTTACAAAAGAACACATCGTACTTGGCATGGACTTTGGGTTTATTTATTTATTTAGAAATCTCAAGTAAATATAAATAAGCGTGTGTGTTTTACTACAAATTCATACTTAAAGCATAGTTGAATAGCAGTTTTTAGTTAGAAAAATCCAAGCCTGTTTTGGGGGAAATATTTTTATTCTAAAAGATTCAAATGCCTCCACATTAAAATGAAACAGAATGAAATGGAGACAGAGAAACTCACACGTATTTGATAACACTGATAAAGCTGAATGTGTAATGATGGCGTATTTACCTGCTTTTAGACAATAGCTGGTCTTTAGTTCCCTACAGCTAGAGATCTTATCTATGTACCACACCCTTCTAGACGTTCTTAACACAACCCCTAGCATGTAACAAGGCCTAAAAAATATGGGTTGAATGAATGATTGAAGAAAAGAAAGAGAGAGAGAGAATGGATAAGAAGAGGTAATTCATCCCCTTGCTTGTAGTGAGGACAAATGAGCCATCTCCTGGAATATATTTCTATCAACACTATCTTTAAAAATTGTACCAAGAAAAATGGCAAATCTTTTTAATCACCCAGGGCTTCTAGTCCTTTGCTCTCCAAATAAGCCATTTGTTGCAGACCCTTATGAAAGGTCATGTATGAGTGAACTCTGAGAAAGCCATACCTTGGGCTTATTAAAGCCTTCTGATTGCACTGGGCCACACCCCTAGCAAGAAGGGAAAAAGAGAATACAGGTGCCCTCATTGTGCTAAGAAGCTGGGTCGCTAATTGGAGGGATGATGGTTCCTGATCACCTTTTAACCTCCTCCCTTCTTTCTCTTCCTCAGGTGGCCCTCTTCACCATGATTCCCTGCAGAGCAGCGCTGTCTTTTGCCCGATGTCTGATCCGGAGAAAAATCGTTACTCTGGACAGTCTGGAAGATTCCAAATTATGCCGCTGCTTATCTGTCATGGACCTCATTGCCCTGGGGGTTGGCAGCACCCTTGGTGCTGGCGTTTATGTACTCGCTGGAGAGGTTGCCAAAGCGGATTCCGGCCCCAGCATCGTGGTTTCCTTCCTGATCGCTGCCCTCGCCTCCGTGATGGCAGGCCTTTGCTACGCTGAATTTGGGGCCCGAGTTCCCAAGACTGGGTCTGCGTATTTGTACACGTATGTTACTGTTGGAGAGCTGTGGGCCTTCATCACTGGCTGGAATCTCATTTTATCCTATGTGATAGGTATGTTTCAAAAAATCAGTCGAATTGTGTAGAAGAGTAGAAATAGCACTCCCAAGTCACAGGGCTTGGGTTTCCGTTGTAGGTCCGTGTTAGTTAGCAGCTACATGATTCTGAGTGAATCGCTTGATCTCTGTGTCTCATTTTTTTTCATCTCTAAAATGTCTCCTTTTGGTTTGGGGATTCTGCTTCATCTCTGAATATGTCTCTTAGTGGGCTTCAAAGCCTGTATTCTTATATTCTTTATATATATTCTTATATTCTTTAATGCAAATAAAATTCCCTGATTCCACAGTTAGGGACTTGAGCATTTGATTATTGTATAATTATAAAATTACCAAGATAATTTTATATGTGATTAAAATTGTCAATTCTGTCTGAACTAAGCCGTGTTTATCCTAGAATAGAGTAGCAAATGATGTTATGTTAATTTTCTCCCAGTGACCTTGTATTCTCTGAATGTTCTGTGTTTTGGGAAGGTACGTCAAGTGTCGCCAGAGCGTGGAGTGGCACCTTTGATGAACTTCTTAGCAAACAGATTGGTCACTTTTTCAGGACATACTTCAAAATGAATTACTCCGGCCTTGCAGAGTATCCTGACTTTTTTGCTGTATGCCTTATATTGCTTCTATCAGGTGAGAAAAAACTATGACACTTCTCTCAAGATGAGCCAGATTGATTGTACCAGGAAAATAGGTTGCTGTTGAATTTGGGGCCTGAGTTCCCAACACTAGGCAGCATATTTACACACTTAGGTTTCTATTGAAGATCTGTAGGCCTCATCACTGGCTAGCATCACATTTTATCTTATGTGATAGATATGTTTCAAAAAATCTAAATAGTATAGAATGGTAAAAATAGCACTTCTGCGTCAATGGCATCTGGAATTCACTGAATAATAGGATGAGCTAATCAATTTTATAACGCTAGTTGGAGATATGCAGGAATGTCAATGAAGTTTCAGTAAGGAAGAATGTATAACTTGGCATTATATCATGTTAGATACAACTAGGGATATATGCAGGCTTACTGTTTCTAGAAGAAATTCTCTTTCTATTCATACATTCATCTATATAATGTAGGCATCTGGTTAAAAAGGAAGCATATTCAAACCTCCTGTCATTTTTTAATGTAGACATTGTGTAGGCAACATGCTTGATACTAGAATTTTCCCGTTTTCGTCAGTATTGTAGAATAATAGTTTAGAAAAGCACAGGACTTAGTCAGAGGGACCAGCTTTCCAATCCTGCTCTGCCACATGCTATCTTTGGAACACTGAGGGCTTAATCTTTCCATGAGACTCAGTTTGCTCATCCATAGAGTGGGGATATCAATGTCTATCTTGTACAGGCTTCTTGCTTGGGACATAGTAAGCACTTAGATGTCGGGCAATTTTATTTTATTTTGTAGGCATACCTAATCCCTGTTGTTCCCTATGTTTTTTTTAATTATTTGAACATTTTCTATTTTAATTGTCATCCCTATGTGCACTCCTGCTTAAACCTATCAAGGATTATACTAAGAATAAAATCCCTGCTTGTTCCCACTTCCTACTTGATATCCTCTGGATAACCTGCCCCTTGCTTTCCTGTCCAACCTTATCTCTAGCTGCTTTTTCCCTTGGTTACAAAAGTGTGGCAGAAATATCTTTCTATAATAAAATTTTTACTTGTAGAATTATATAATTTTTGAAAATAGCTTTACTCTTAAAAATGTTAGCCGTTAATTAAATGTTTTATATAGGGACAGGGACATGAGCAAAATTTATAGGTCTAAAATATTTGGCATTTTGCTTCTAATGTCAAGAAGATTAGCATCCATTGTTTTTCAACAGGTGATAGATCTTGTTTGTTTGTTTTGGTTTCTAAACAGCCTAGCTAACATTACGTTAGTTACATCATATTTTATTTAGGAATGATTTCAGTGAACTTAAAATATTCAGCTTTAATCTCTGAATGATGAGAAGCATGCAGCTATGACACGGAATCATTAGATTCCATGGCAAGACTCAGGCCCTGGCCTGCATCACTTGTCCTGTGTTCATCGACCATTGTGTCTTTACTTTAAATATAGGCTAAGCTTACATGGTAACTTTATTCTTAGAATCTCTGAAGATCAAAACCTCCTATTCTAAATCTTTATTCATATTATAATACCAAATGTCTTGCCAACTGAAGCTATTGTTAATGATATAAGGGAAGTGTATGCAGTATTTAGATGAAATATTCATTAGTCTCTAATCTACTGGTGGGAGACGGAGATCTCAGAATAGAGAGTGCACATAGACTATTGGGAAACTTATAAAACGTGACAGTAGTGTTGTTATTTTCTGAAATGTATAGTGGTATAATGTATGGTGTATATTTCCAAGTTGTATAGTGGTTCCTAAACAGACAGACAGTTACTGGGTTAGTAATTGTATTGACCATACAGTTTTCCTTTATATCATCAAAATTTAGGTAGAAGAATGAAATTCAGCTTCTCTCATCTCTACTTGGATAATTTTTCTTATTTGGTCATGGGTGGTATAGATATGGGGAAGAAGCAAGTAAATATGTGGCATAATCCTGTCAGTCATTTCCCTAATAGTAAAGAGTAAACTTTCTTCGGTCCATAATTCATATCTTATACCAGATGGATTAAAGATATAAATATGATCATAAAATTACTAGAAGGAAACAAAGGTGAATGTTTTTGAGTTAATATTCGGGAAAATTTAGCTTTAGAAAGCTAAGGGTAGAAACTAAAAAGGAAAAATTTATGTTCTAAAAGTTTCTTATATATATAATTAACGCTAAGATTAAAAGTAAATGATAAACTGGGAAAAACATATGCAATACATGACAGGCAGAGAATTTATAGCATTTATTATATAAATGAATCTTAGAAATTAATATAAACAAGAATAGCCCAATGGAAAAAATGGGCAATTCAAATTGGGCCAAACTTTCTGGAGAATATTTTGACAATATGAACCAAAAGCCTTGTGTAACAGTGCATACCCTTGATCCAGTATTACCTTATAGAAAACTATTGTAAAGAAATCATTTGAAAGTGTACAATGGTATTTATAAAGGGATGATGATGTCAGTACTGTTCATAGCTGTAAGAAACTCAGAGTGACCTGATTGTTTATAAATAAGGGATTGAGGTATAATGTGTCTGTATCATGGAAGAGTTTATGGCTGTTAAAAATGAGCTTATGTATTTGTTGACATGGAAGTGTGTGTGCGTGCACAGAATTCTGGAAGGGAGGTTCACTTGATCTTTGTTTCCTTCATATTTTTTCTGAGTCTTCAAATTACTTGGCTTGGAAATTGATTACTTTTACAATCAAAATACAAAATAAAACTATTAAAATGAGAATCGATTTAACAAAATATCTATTTGGCATGACAATTGAAGAATTACTTTGTTTATATATTTAGTAAATATGAGGCAAACATATGGTTGAGCTTTTGCTTTCAAAATTTTGCAACCGTTAACCTTGAAATGGCTTTTCAGAACAGCATTTGATTAAAATTTAGTTACTTTACCTATATCTACCCATTGGTAATCGTAGCTAAAGTTACTAGATTTATTTATTTCTTGGAGAGTGTGATGTCTCTTGGCTATGAGCACCATCTGCCTTCTGAAACGGAGTTGGTTGTGTTCAGAAGACATTCTTTCACGATCAGACGAGTGAGTAAGAACTTGCAATAGAAAGGGCTAAATGTGTGTTAAAGATATGAATGGTGGTGAAATAGTATCCCAAAGCTTGTAATTGCCTCCAAATGCATTGCCTGTGTAAGGCTTAGGTGAAATTAAAATACCCTTTCTTCTTCCATAGGTCTTTTATCTTTTGGAGTAAAAGAGTCTGCTTGGGTGAATAAAATCTTCACAGCTGTTAATGTCCTGGTCCTTCTGTTCGTTATGGTGGCTGGGTTTGTGAAAGGAAATGTGGCAAACTGGAAGATTAGTGAAGAGTTCCTTAAAAATATATCAGCCAATGCCAGGTGAAATATTTAGGGTTTTTCCCCTCTTGTTCTGTTTGTTTTTTTAATTTGCCTGCTTTTGTCTTATGCTATATTTTCCTCTAGAATAATTGTTCTCAAACTTTTTGCTTCTGAGAGGCTGTTTTATTCCAAAACTCTTCTCCCCAGGCTCCCCTCACACACAAATGCCTAGGTGTGCTCACTTTTGAGCAGCTGTTTGAAGCCGTGCAGCTGCTGGTGCCCAACTTCATGCTCTCCTCCAGGTTTGGGGGAAGACCAGGGAACAGCCTAACCCTCAGAAGAATGGCTTTTCCCCCAGAGGTTGCCACCTCTAAATAACAATAAATATTTTTGAGACATGCATCCTTCAGTTCTTCTTTGGGAATACCGTTTGGTCTCATTGCAGTTCTCTCAGCCTTGTGGTCATTTTTAGGCCTTGTGATTTTGGAGAGTGTTGTTGGTTGCATAAGCAGAATTATCTGTTCCTTTCACTTTAAACCTGATAGTCTCAAATATTAAATTAATAATAATTATATATAAAAGTTTTCATCCTAAGATTGATTTAAGCATAACATTCCTATGTGTATTTAAACTAAGATTACAAAAATATCTATTATATGGAGCGAGGTACATCTGTGTTCTCCTTTACATATGTTGTTTGTAGTCATTCTGATGAGGCAAAAAAATTAGTATCTTTTTTTTTTTTTTACAATTTTTAACATGTAATAAAATATTCAACTTCAGAATTATTAATCAAACCTAGAGAATTTTATTTCACCTTTTCAAATGTCTTCATAGTAAAGTTTTAAAATGTGTAGTCTGCCCACCTGTCCACGGGAAGGGGAAGTTTCTTGTCTTTATTTCAGATCGTGGCCCATTTATGGAGTGTCTGCTCTCAGAATCCTGCCTGGCTGTGAGTTCCAGCCAGAATGGGTCTGGGCCTCCTGCTTATGCAGCATCAAGATCAGCCTCCAACTGAGTGTTGGTAACCCGTTAGGGTGCCATTGCTGAGGACACACCATATTCTCTAGGACAGGGTGAGAGAATCAGGGTTGACTCTTAGTTTTGTATACATCAGCTCTGAACACAGCAGCCTTCCAAGGATGTGGCTTGAGAGAAACCACCGGAAGAAGCAGTTTCCTATGAAAAAGACTTTCTGATGTTTGTTCTCTTCCTTAGAGAGCCGCCTTCTGAAAATGGAACAAGTATCTATGGGGCTGGTGGCTTTATGCCTTATGGCTTTGCAGGCACTTTGGCTGGGGCTGCAACCTGCTTTTATGCCTTTGTGGGATTTGACTGCATTGCAACAACTGGTAAGTGCAGAATCTTGGCTCTCTGTCGAAGGAAAAGGTGTTCCTTGTACCCCATGAATGCCTGTGGGTGGCCGCAGAGGGCCAAGGAAGGACAGTGGGAATTGTAGAATAAGGGCAAGTTCCAGGCCCAGCTGTGACCCCTGCTGGATATGATAAAAAGAAACGTAAGGAAACTCTCTGAGCCTTGGTTTCCATATTGGTAAAATTGGGAGAGCAGTACTTCCCCCTCAGTTGTTATGAAGGTACCTAAGATGTACATATGAAAACTTACTTTGAAGAAATACGTATGAAAAATACTTTGCAAGCCGTCAAATGCTTTATAAATGTTAGTCATAATTGCTATCCTTAACCTTCTGTCCAGAAGTGCTGTCATAAGGAGTAACAAATAATGGTCATGCTCTGAAATGGTCTCTTTAGTCAGACAAAATATATTGTGGTAATTCTTTTCTCTTTATCCTATCCAACAAAGTAATCATGCCAGAATCACTCTCTAAGTGCCTCCTCTGGGTTCATATTATTGCACGGGCTTATAATTGATCATATTTCGGGTGCTTCAAATGCCAAATCTTATTGGAAGGATCCAAAGTATACTATTTGTTAATTGAAGCTAGAGTTTATTATAAGAAGATGGATTGGGTAAAAGTTCACCTGAAGCCTTTATATTTAAGGGCCCACAGAATGCCATGACAGTCATTTAAGCTCTGTGGATGAATCATTTTCCAAATGGATTAAGGCTGCTGTTCTATCCCTAAATATTTGATAGTGAGTGTATAAGATGCTTTTTCTTTGTGGAATTGGATTTTTATGTAATAGGAAAGTACCCTGAAGAAGAGAGTAAATCTCATGTACAATAGATGGATCAAGCTAAGAAAATGAGAGGGACAAAAGCAGAGTAGAATTACTGTGGAGGAGGAGAAGAATTAATGGCATACCACTTCATGTTTTATTAAACATGCAAACCTTTTGTTTATATCTCCTTAGGTGAAGAAGTCCGGAACCCTCAGAGAGCTATTCCTATTGGAATTGTGACTTCTTTGCTTGTTTGCTTCCTGGCCTATTTTGGGGTCTCTGCAGCTTTAACACTTATGATGCCGTACTACCTCCTGGATGAGAAAAGCCCCCTTCCTGTAGCATTTGAATATGTTGGATGGGGTCCCGCCAAATATGTCGTTGCAGCGGGCTCCCTCTGTGCTTTGTCAGCAAGGTACACTGCATTGCCTCTGGGGCAGGTGCTGCTTGGGGTCCTGCAAAGTATAGTCAGTGTCCAAAGAATTGCTTTCATATGTTTTAAAAACAAAATATTTTTAAATAATATGAGGAACATGTTATGTAATTATATATTCTCTGAATAGTTTGCCCAGAATTGCTATATAAAAATCTTAAGTGATAAAATCTTTCCCCCCATCACTTGAGTCAGTTTTTCAAGATAGTGGTGGTCCAAGCTTCAGGAGAAATACATACAGCATTGGTACACACATACACAAGATCATAGGTATGTGTCACACCTGTTCATATATGTATTATAAAACTTTAGGGTGCTTATACCAGTATATTTCCCTGTTGACTTTCATGTCATTTACAGTGTTAAAGACAATTGAGACCTTATGTGCAGACTTGGCATTTTCTGCTGTCTTTTAAAGTAATATCAAATCTGTGTGAGAGGACGCTGTATGCGGTGGCATTGTTAAATGTAATGTGCTTTTTATTGTGACACATTGAGACTTTTAGCACTGATCAGAGTGAACTTGGTCTAGAAATATAAATTATTGTTCTAAAATTAATGGTGGAAATTCATGTAATATCTGTGTGAAAAAAAGGGTAATTGAATACCAAGTGTTAGGATTTTCCATAACTGGCATATTTTAATAGTTTAGAATTCATTTCTCAGGTTTCCTGAGCTACTCATATTTCAAATTAACATATGAGATAGGTATTTCATTCTGGTTTTATACCATGCTATGCAGTACAGAATTCTCACAAAGAGGAAATTAATCTCTTTGCCTGATTACTGATGTTTTGAAGTGAAAATAGTTTTCTAAAAGTCTGAAATTGGGAAAAGAATCCTTTTATAATTCATCAGCCTAGCTTTTTTTTTCCCCTCAAAATCCTTTCCATTTTCTATTCAAGGTAATATTAAGCAACAATTAGAAATTACTCTCGTTGGTTTCTCAGCCATCTGCTAGTGTTGAGGCTTATTCTGAATAGTTTCAAATCATTTTAAAAATCTGAACTGTGAAGATCCTATGCCACCATGGTCTGAGGACAGATGGACGAAGAGTCAGCCATGGCCAACCTCAACCCAACCTGATTAAAAGATAGAGAAGATGGATTTTTAAATTAAAATATTTTATTTATTTTCTCTTAAATGGTTACTTTTTACAGCTAAGTTTGTATGGAATGGTACAAGCAGTGTACACACAAGTGATTCAAAACATCTAAAGTAAAAATCATTTTCTTAAACTTCACTGTTACTAACTTTTAATGGTGGCTACTTCTATGTACTAAATTTACAATGAATTGATTTTTTTTACCTTTCTCTTATAATTATCTTATGATGCTGGGATTAATTACTAATTTGACTGAAGATTAGGCTATATGAGGAAAAATAATGGTAAAATAAATGTAAAAAATGCATAATTATTGAGTAAATGAAGTGACTATACTATGAAATCAGATTACTTAATCTCTACATATCAATTTAGGAATTTTATTTTCTAAGTTATTGCTGCTAAAAATGTCTTAATGATAATGATTGAGTTTGGTTTCCTGTTAAGTCTTAATTACTTAGTTTTAATTCAGTAATAATCATGCACAAATTACTCACAGTAATGTTTTTAGTCTGATAATTGTGCTGGGCAAGTATCTGCAACAGAATAATAAGTAGCACAGTGGTAAATACTGGCAGATATTTTTAAATGCCCCATCATAATACATTTTAAAAATAACAAGACTGCATAATCGTAGCTGTGGTGCTGAGTTTTGTGCCCTTTCTTAGTTTTAGTTCTGGGGTGTAATCTTGCATGGATGTGTTTGCCATACTGCATGTGTTTGCTTTTTATTCAGTCTTCTTGGATCCATTTTCCCAATGCCTCGTGTAATCTATGCTATGGCGGAGGATGGGTTGCTTTTCAAATGTCTAGCTCAAATCAATTCCAAAACGAAGACACCAATAATTGCTACTTTATCATCGGGTGCAGTGGCAGGTGAGAGAGAATTGACTTTTATTAAGAAAAAGGGGATATTTTATCATCAAGGATTCTGAAAAAAAAAAAAAAGGGAAAGGGTAGGTGGTTTTCTGTTTTGATTTACATGACAGTCAATAACCTTTTTGTGAATGTTTCCTGTTTTGAATTTTTGGGCATAGGTTCTACACTTTAGTGTGTCCAATCTTTACCTGTATATACCTGTCTAGAATAATACTTGTAATAACTCACATGTGGATTATAAATTTTTCTGTTCTAGTCTTCTGGGCTCTATGTTTCCTTTACCCCGAATTCTGTTTGCCATGGCCCGGGATGGTTTACTGTTTAGATTTCTTGCCAGAGTGAGTAAGAGGCAGTCACCAGTTGCTGCCACGTTGACTGCAGGGGTCATTTCTGGTAAGCTTTACAAACATAGGCCTCTTCAACATTGGATTTGAACGTTTTATGCGCATGCATGGACTTATAAAGAGGGTCTGCTTGCTGTGCATGTAAGTTAAGAACAAAATCACTGATAAATTAGGGTATGAGCACTGGGATTACATCTGCAAATTGTGGTGGCTGTGGTCTACTGAAATTCATTCTTAACTGACCCTTTAGCCGTTTTTATGATGTCGTTATTTTAACCTTTTGGGCTTCTAACAAATATGCAAAGGGTTATAATGGCTCTTCACTATATGTCAGGTTTTAAATGCTTTTCAGATTGATGAACTAGCACATGAAATTATATTATTGACACACAAAATTTTAATTAAAGGATGATTACTTAATATTTGAAATATTAATTAAAAATGATTTAATGTTTTCTTTTTTGTTTAGGATTTAAGTTGAATGTTGCTAAAGGATCATAGGATTTTTCTAAAGTTAATGGTTTACTCATTCTTAATTAAACATAAGAAATGTCAAAGACAATTTATATTGACCGTTGGAATCATCCCCACTTCCTGGGCCATCATGGCTCTTGAAAAGTTAGTGATACCTTTATCCTCGTAAACCCGGTTAGGAATCTGTTTTTCCTTTCAACAGTTTTGGCACATAAGTCATATTTTAAAACTTCAGATGCCTACCTTTCGGCATATCTATGTAAAGTGCCTTTGGCCAGATTCTTATTCCATGCAGAAATTTTCAAAGCAATTCTACAGATCAAGAGAATGGCCTTACAGGTCCTGTTATAGGAAGCAAGAAAAGGACTCCAGTAAGCTTTCTAGATAAAACAATAAACAATCTTGTTAGTAGAAATTCAAACCAAAAATATTAGTTTTTTTGAGGCTCTGAATTATTGGAAAATTATATTGGAGAATGGTAATTCTTAGTTATGTACAAAATAGGATTTTTTTCAGAGTCAGAAAGTAGTTGCCTAAACAACTTCATTTTGTAAATCTTTTCTGACAAATTTGGCATTTTATTAGGCATCCATTGGAAGGTCAAAGCACTTATTTTCTCAGTGCTTATATTTCTGCCCCCATAAGACTAAGGTTGCACAAGATGATTCAAAGCCCATTTTCTTGTTAAATGTTGCATTATACTATTAGAGATAGTTTATAAATCTTAACAGAGACACACCTTTTATTTATTCCATAAAATCTTTTACTTTTTCCAGTAAAATCTTGCCCAGTGATACTCTGCTTTTTGTTCAGAATTTTAAAAAATTTACTTCTTCCTTCAGGATGAGTTTAATTTGGCAGCATAATAAGATATTGAAATTAATGATTAAAAGAACATAATTGTGGGACCGACCCTGTGGCTGAGTGGTTAAAGTTATGCGTGCTCCGTTTATTGGCTGGGTTCATGGGTTTGGATCCCGAGTGTGGACCTGCTCTACTCATCAGCCATGCAGTGGAGGCATCCCACATACAAAGTGGAGGAAGATTGGCGTGGATGTTAGCTCGGGGCTAATATTCCTCAAGTGAAAAAAGAGGAGAATTGGCCACAGATGTTAGCTCAGAGCAAATCTTCCTTGTAAAAAAAAAAAAAAAAGAAGAAAATTCTAACAGAGGGCTTTTAAATATGCTCTAAAATATTATATTTTTGTTATTTTGTACTCCACCTTACTTTGCTTGTTTCCAGCTTAGATTTCTTGTACAGATAATTAATTATTTTCTTCTGTCTTGGCTACCTTATTTTAGGTATCTGATTCTTAGAAAACATATTGAAATTGTAATAGGATAATGTATCAGTATACTAGCAATGGAGAGTTTTAAAGTGAGGCTTGAGGTGATTTAAAGAAACAGTGTGGTTTGTAGCAGCTGCTTGGGATGTTAGTTTAGGGGGAATCCTGCTGCTACCTAGTAGTTGTAACCTACTCTCTAAGAGTAAGCCTGTCTTTAAAAAGAGGATACTAATCCTATTGGGTCAAACCATGTGAAATTGATGGGTTTTGGTTAAAAACAGTCAAATACTGGCCATTTTATATAACTGAACCTAAATAATTTCCCCTGTCTCATAGGATTATTGAATTGAAGATAAAATGAAATCATAGAGATATAAAACTTGCAGAGAGGTCCAGAACACCATATAAATGGAATGTGGCGTTATCTCCTTACTAAGATAGGGACAACTATGTGGTAAATTCAAATTAATATTATCACTATTTTGATGTTTCAGTGGAGAAAAAAATTGCTAAGTGCAACTTAACTATTCGACTATATAAAGTATATTTTGTCTCTTAACATTATTGGGATTTGGGTACAGGACCATAGATTGAGCTCTGGGATCTAGTCAGTCTTCCTGGACTGTGTGGTTTCAATCAGCATAGAATTTAGCCTATATCAGAAACATAATTTAATTGGAAATTATTTTGTATATGATATAACTCTAAATGCAGTTGGAAATCAAAAATGATTATATTACATCTATGATGAAAGCTCTTCTGTCAGAATTTTTTATGATTTTAAAAAAGGAGTTGGCCCATATTTCTTAGCCATGTTTTCTTCTGAAACGTCAAAGGAGAGTATTCTGTTATATAATATTTTCACTCTGTCAGGTCAATATTTTTTAAGTAATCAAAGTAGATGTGTTTTGTACTTAATAGATAGCTGAGGGATTTTGAAGTTTTAGTAGGAGTTTATATGACCTAAAGAGCATCTTATTAACTATGAGAAATATATTTTCTATACTTTGTTTTCCTTATCATTGGCACTAAAACAAAAAGTCAGTCAGCTGAGCCTGACTTGAAAGTCATCAACTGTATAGAATTGTATCATGGGCCATTTTCCTCACTGTTCTTTGCTTGTTTCAATAGCTGTGATGGCATTTCTTTTTGACCTGAAGGCACTTGTGGACATGATGTCCATCGGCACTCTTCTGGCCTACTCTCTGGTTGCAGCCTGTGTTCTCATCCTCAGGTGAGCTGTCCTTGGAAGATGATTCTGAAGAGTGTGTGTCATGTGGAGCCCAGGGAATAAAGACAGTTAGGACTCACTGTCCTTGCTTTCAAGAAGTTAGCAGTCTCACAGAAGCAAGAGGCCATGAATTTAAAGACATCCATGTAAAGTGTAATAGACATACTAGCAAAAGCATCAAATACAACTGATAATTAATGATAGGTTGGCTCAATCTGTGTAAATGGTAAATTCTCAAAGTGTATAAAAACACTTAAAAATAAAATACTTTTTGTGCCAATAATTCAACTGCTAAGATTTTATACCAAAGATTTTATCAAAGAGGCACACACAGATATATGTAAAGGATGTTCATGGAAAGGGTAATTTATAATAGTGAAAAACTGAGCTAACCTGAATATCAATAGGAGAATAGTTAACTAAATGAGGGTATATTTATTTGGTGGACTCTTCTACAGCAAATAAAGTGAATTTAATTATATACAGAAATGTATCAGTTTCAGGATGCACAGTCCTATGTAATCTGAATTTATTTAAATAACATAAATTTACATGAAGAAGTCATTTTTTGCATATATACATGCATGCATTTATTCTTGGCTGAAATTTTCCCAAAATGCTAGCAGTGGTTAACACTGGACAGTGGTATTGTGGGTGGTTTTAATTTTCTTCTGTATGCCTCCATGTATTTTTTCTCAGGGAGCATATTTCTTCTTTAGATGGAAGACAGCTGTTACTCTTAAATTTAAGTAAAGGCTGCTCAGAGGGAAAAGAGACCACCCTGGGGAGGCTGGGGTGAGGCAGGCTGATATCTTGATGTAGAGGAAGAGAATACAATAACAAAGGAGGATGGCATGCATGCGGTTGGGAGGTGGCGGAATGGGTGGAGGAGCTAGTCCGGGTTAAACTAGAGGACTCAAGTAGGAAATCTGAGGGAGAAGAGGCTAAAGAGGTGGCGTGTGATGAGGCCTCTGAATGCCAAACTGAGGGCTGTATGTTACTCTGTAGCTGTTATGCAACCAGAGTTTCTGTGCTGTTTTCTCGAACCATGTTTCCTTTGGACATAGATATTTTCAGAGTAATTATCCTGTTGTCGCAATTGCCTCGCTTCAGAATGCAGCGGTCTGCTGCATCTGACATATAACTTTCTAGTGAAGTGGCTATCAGAGGAAATTCAGAGTTGCCTCAGATGTCTTATTGGGCAGGTTTGTGGCCTGGCTCAGTGTGCTCTGGGGCTGGAGTCACGAGAAGTGTCAGTTTTCTGCACAAGCTATGATCTGAGTATAAGATGTCTCACTTATAATTTTAAGTGATCGTTTCCTTCAGGCCAAATATCTCTTTGAGAATAAAGACACCACATTTATTTGGGGACAGGTACCAGCCTGGCTTATCTTATGAGCAGCCCAAATATTCCACTGAGAAAGAAGCTCTGAGACCATGTGCTGGTGCTGCCTCAAAAAGCGAGCCCCACGTCACCAGGCTGCAAGGACGGCGCTTCATCTTGCAAACTGTCTTCAGCCCCTCGGTTCTGCCTACACAGCAGTCGGCTTCTCTCGTGAGCTTTCTGGTCGGATTCCTTGGTAAGTCCTCTTCACTGCATCCATTATAAATACCCCGCAGATGTGTGTACGTGGAGCTGGCACAATGTGAAGGAGGGTGAAAGGCCTCACCTTACCCTAGAATATGTTGCAACTACTCCAAGCCCTGAAACTTCCACTTGATGGGTTACTAGTATTTGAGATCATCTTTATAGTAGCAGGATCAATTTATCATACCTTGATAATCGAAGAAGAAAGGGAGAAATTCCCCAAGGTACTAGTGGCAGAGGTACAAACTTCGTCCATCTCATTAGCTGTTAAGGAACTCATGTTCCCTAACATCAGGCCAAGGACATCTGCCAATAACAGAACTGGGACCCAAGGAGACTGGGAGGCAATGTAGAAAATCCTTGTTTGTCACCCACAGTTAGGTAATCGTTCATATTTTCAACAATATTTGTTGAGCACCGTCAATGTGCCAGGAATTCTGCTGTGCACCTGGGATATCAAGAGAGATGGTCCTGGCTCCCAGTGGGCTTTACAGAACAGGATTAGGGGAGACAAGCTAAGGGAAGTCCAGGTTTCTCTGAGAACATATAGGAGGGACCCCTAATGAAGACTTGACGGTCAGAGATAGGGTGGGTGGTGATTTCACCTCCCAAATAGGGAAAAAAGATGCAGATCAGATATTGTTTGTTTACATTAACAGTCAGTGTTTACAACAGCTGAAAATGGACAGACTTCCATTTCCCATTTGAAAAAAGGGAAATATCCACCCCTGACAATGATCCATGTGATATAGTCTGAGACAGTAGCAAATGAGGACTCAGATGGCATATTGGCAGAAAAAGCAAGATGGTGGTGCCAAGAAGGAGGTTGACTTCTAAGGAGGAGACAGTCAGGAGTAAGCAAGCAGTGTTTCTTAAATCAGTGAAGTCAGCCATTTCTTCCCATAATGAAAATGAACAATCTTAGTATTTGGGAAAGTAGATCTATAAAGAACTTGACGTCTTATCCAAAGAGACTGTTTGAACTGAGGAATCGGAGTGAAGTGCGTGTGCTGATTTTGTTGTATGTACATCTTGCCTTTGCAGCCTTTCTCGTTTTGGGCCTCAGTGTTTTGACCACTTACGGTGTCCAGGCTATTGCCAGGTTGGAAACATGGAGCCTCGTTCTCCTTGTGCTGTTTCTTGTTCTCTGCATCGCGATCATTTTCACCATTTGGAGGCAGCCCCAGAATCAGCACAAAGTAGCCTTTATGGTATGTGTGAGGAATATTATAGATCCTAAATATTGTGCACTTTTTCTCTTGTACATTAATTTTTGTGAGTTTTTCCTTAAAAAAAAAATAACACTTCAGCTGAAGTTAACCAGTGAACAAGAAGAGTGTTACAATTCTTTGAGATGTTCTTTTGTTATAACTATTCTCCTTACGTTGGCTGTCTTCCTGCCCTTTTCAAACACTTGAGTGTGTTCCTGTCACAATATCATTATATATAATGGTAAACAAATTTCTTATTAAATAATCTATAGTATCAGAAGAATAATTAGAATATTTTATTCTAGAAATTCACTACCCTCTCAGGAAGATTATCCCCACCAAAAGCCCTTCCACTGCACGTGAAACTATCCTGTCCCTTTCAAACTAAGAGCAGGTTTCGGCTTGAAGGGAGCTTCCTGGAGGTCTTCCCCTGGGATGCCCTGTGTATCCAGAGTTCCAGAGGAATGCCCTGTTGATATCTGAACTAAACCAGTGAACCCTAAACTTTAACTAAACCCTAAAACTGATTGCATCTTGGTGATGACGCAAGTGTTAGTGGGCTGGATAAATCCCTTGTTCCTTTGAGCTTCAGTATATAGTGTAAAATGTGGTGCTCCTTTTAGTATTCTCTAGAAGAATGGTTTTTATTCAGGTTGTCCTTTTTGTAAAAATATAAACTTCGTGACACAGTGTCAAAGTGTGTATGTCAAATTAGTTGCCACCATGTTGAAATAATTTGGGGAATGTGCTTTCAAAATTTGAGTATATGTAAGAAGATATTTTTCCCCCTTAGGTTCCATTCTTACCATTTTTGCCGGCCTTCAGCATCCTGGTGAACATTTACTTGATGGTCCAGCTGAGTGCAGACACTTGGATCAGATTTAGCATTTGGATGGCACTGGGTAGGTCTTTTAAGGTTTTCGCTTTCTGAACTTTGGCTCTTTCTGGTTTCACACACTGTTATTAGAGAAACGCATCCCTCCCTCTTCTTGGAAATAAAGGCTTTTTCCAGTTTCTTCCTTTCCCAATTCTTAGAACTTCTGCATGCTTACTTTTCCACATGTTTTCAGATACTTTTTTTTTATTCAGTTCTCCCAGTAAAACCCTGAAGGTTCTATTTTCTCCAACTTAATGGTTGAGAAAATTGAAGCCCCCCCAAAGTCAAGGGATCTAGCTTGTAAATGGCAGCCCTAGAGTCTGAGTCCAGAGCCAGTCCTTTTCAGGTCCCAGTAGATTTCTGGAGACATTTTGAATGATCTAATGAGAAATTTCTTTCCTAATATCTAAATTGCTTATTACTAGAGCCTTGGGGTAGAATTGAGCATTAAATAACATAAGTGGACTTAGTTATATTGTTTTTCATTATGACTCCCTTCAGTTTCCTGTGTGAAAATTGAGTTAGAAATCAAGAGTTTAAGTTTGTTGTAACTAAAACACTGAGCACCGACTGTCTTAAAAATGTGAGGTGTAAGGGGGCTGGCCCCGTGGCTGAGTGGTTAAGTTCGCGCGCTCCGCTGCAGGCGGCCCAGTGTTTCGTTGGTTCGAATCCTCGGCGCGGACATGGCACTGCTCATCAGACCACGCTGAGGCAGTGTCCCACATGCCACAACTAGAAGAACCCACAACGAAGAATACACAACTATGTACCGGGGGGCTTTGGGGAGAAAAAGGAAAAAATAAAATCTTTAAAAAAAAAAAAAAAATGTGAGGTGTAAGGTCTGTAAGGTGAAGCGGTGAGAAATGAGAGCTCCGTCTGCATTGGTTTTGGTGGCCTGAGGAGTTTGAGAGTTTATGATTTTTGACAGTCCTCCTATTGGGTTAATAAGAATGAATCTAGTTCACTTTTTTGTATGCATATAAGTGTTTGCTTTGGCTATCAATTAACTAAATTTCAATTTCAAGAAACCAGCCCACTTGAGTTGATGAGAGAGTTAACCTCAGTCAGTTTTACCCATCCCCCTACACCCACACTAGAGTTTGCCCATATTTTGGGGATCCTACACTGTGCCAAGGAATTGGGATGTGGTGCCTTGGGTCAAAGGTTATCCATCCACACAGGTTACACTAGGTTGTTCTCTGTTTCTGTCACTGTGGCGACTTCCGGTAGGTGGTTCTGTTGCGTCAGGGCCAGGATCCTGACAGAAATGACTTAACGATTGGCTATGACCTCAGGAATGCACCACACAGCCTTTCCTTTGGTGTCCTGCCACCTCCCAGGTGCTACCAGGAAGCTGAGCTGAACTCCTCAGGGTATGCGGACTATAGAACTCACTCCTCTGCTCTGAGCCCAGAGAAGCTTTTTCTGTTCTGGTGGAGAGTTTCTCTCTGCTTCCTGTCTTTCCACAAGCCATGCTTCTTTCCTCAAATTGTAGCTCACTGTGGTTTAATGTACTTGGTCTTGGTTAAGAGTGTAAACTATAGAGCCAGTCTCTCTGGGTTTGCCATCTACCCCTGCCACTTATTAACTGTGTGACCTAGGCCAAGTTACCCCCCTATTTTTGTGCCTCAGTTTCTTTGTAAAATGGTGATGACGAAAATACCTCTGTCTGAGGATGAAGAAGGCTGGATCTTCAAACCTCTGAGAAAATGAGAGGAAATAGAATCATTCCCAATAATTGGACATGCCAAAATGCTAATTGGTAGCCTACCTGTCATTATTTTAAATGGGAAAACTATAATGCATTTCACATCAATTCAAAACTCAACCAATTTTTTAAAATATAATTAAAACACAGCACAATGCCTACGTATAAGTAATATACACTATCTTGTGAGGATACTTAAAACATTTCCTTCTAATTCTTAGCATGGCTGTTCATAAACAGTTCCTTTATACAAAGTTATTTGACCTCTCCTGGTGACAGTAACCTGTGTAGGGAACACCCATGTCCCCTTTGTTAACACAGGCCGTGCCTTCCAAAATATCAGACTGTGACTCTGATAATCCACTACTTGTATTTGGGGTGTAATTTGAGACTTTACTTCACATATCCTTTTGTTTAAAGTGTAGTACTGAGTTTTGAGAAAATAAATATAATTTTTCCTACATAAACATGGTCTGAAAAACAGTTATTGAGAGAAACAGACATCCTATAAAGATTGGGTACTAAAAATGAAGAAGCACATTCTACTGAAAAGATGTTTGCCAGGGACCTTCTGTGGGATATCCCATACTTGCTTTCTGTTCTAAAATGGCCCAGAAAGAGAAGGCAGAAAACTCTATTAAGCTCTATATTAAATTTTCCATATTTGAACAGTCATTTTCTGAAACACCTAAAACATTGATTTTTTTTTTTTCCTCTGAAAGGTTTCCTGATTTACTTTGCTTATGGCATTAGACACAGTCTGGAGGGTAACTCGAGGGATGAAGAAGAGGATGAGGATACATATTCAGACAACATTAATGCAGCAACAGAAGAAAAATCTGCCATTCAAGCAAATGACCGTCACCAGAGAAACCTCAGTTTACCTTTCATATTCCATGAAAAGACGAGCGAATGCTAATGCCTGAGGGAGCGGAGCTGGTCCACAGTCTTAACATACATATCCTACACGGAGTACACCATGACAGGATGTTGCCATCATGCTAGGTTGTCATGGGTTTGCTGCAGACATAGTTCACCCTAATTTATGCTTGCTTACCTGGACAGCACCTCGTCAGATGGTGAATTATGTACTCGGGGCAACCTCCTGAACTCTCTCCTCAGTGATGAATAGCCCCAAAACAGTGGGCATGTGTGTGTGTATGTATGTAGATGTTGGGCAATGTGAATGTTCAAAGCTGTTGGTGTTGTACTGTTATTGCCTTACATTTCTGCAGTGTTGTCATTAATTGGTGGCATGTACTGCACATACTGAAATGAGGTTATCACTGAATAGAAAAGGTGTTTTGTATGTTCCCAGTGCAGTTGGGGAAATAACTGTTGCTTTTTCTTATGAGGCTTCATTAATGTCCACCTAGAACCTGCTACAAATGCAGTTACCCATCTTGGTGTCTGTCATTGGTCAGGAGTAAGAGGAGGGGATTAGAAATGAGCCTTTTCTATAACTTATAAATGCCAGCAGTGGGTTTATTACTGATTTTCCTTCTATGAGGATGACAATTTGCTAAAACTTTAGCCAACAGGAGTGTTCGCATCCGCCATACTACACAGGGCAGGAGTGGCATTCTGTGTCACACATGGCCTCCCTCTGAACTCCTGTCCTCTCTGAGATCGCTGGTCCTTAAATATGAGGGCTTCACCTGCTGTGAATGATATAGTCACTCAGTCCAATCAGGGACTTGAAAGAGTAGTGGGGTCCACTTGGGACTCTTTATGCTAGAAAGTGAAGGTGGTCCCCATGGCCAGAAAGCTCACGTAAGTGGCAACGGTGAGGATATGTCTGAAGATCAGAGTTAGACATATGCCTGGCTAAGTAGACCCCAAGCATCCTTGTTTTAAAAGTCACTTCAAACAAGCCAATAGAATCTCCTGGATCACACCATTGATAGAATGATGCATACACTTTCTATTACTTAATAACTAATCACAGTTTTTTCTTTTTCTTTTTAACCTTGTCAGGCACAGAATCTACTTGTTTCTACTATTATTTTGTCTTATTCTAGATATAAGGGGCTACTGTAGCAAATTCTGTCTTTACTACATGCAAAGGAGGAAAAAATAAAGGGGTACAAGAAGAGAAAATTCTTTTGTTCTGAGTTTAAAGTGCCTATTCAGATGTTAAAGGGCATTTGGCCCAATTTGGGGGTTTGGATCTAATTTGCCTCCAGTGTGTCTTTTGGAAACATTTAGGGATGTTTTTCTTCCCCCATCCCATAAACTATTTAGCACTTTTTATTTCATTTATTTTCAAATGATCACACTAAAGCTATTAATACAAGCTCCAATATTCTATAATAGCCCATCAGTGGTAGGGGAATTAAATATTTTGGTTAAATACATAATTATTTAAAACTTAAGCCTGAAAAATCAACCAAATTGAATTGAAGCTATATAAACACAGAAAGCTTTATATGAGTAAATAATTTGTTTTTATTTGTAAAGTTCTCTAAAGACTGTATTTTATAGGGTTCTCTAATAGTGGACTATTTATCTGCAGTGTGTTTTGCTTCTCATGAATTATTTTTCTTACAAATAATTAAATGGTTCACTAGATGAGGCTAGGAGCTAAACACATATGCATGGGCTCCCTTCCCAGGATGAACGTTATCAAGTGCACAAGTTGACCAGAGGCAAGGAAAACATTTGTTTTCTGAAAGCTCTTTCAAGACAACAGTTATTTTATTGATGCCATTAAAAAGCAAGTTGCAATTCTTTTGTCTACCCCAGAGTTTATTGTGATTAAATATCAAATAAACAAGTAGAAGACCTGGTTTTCCGGCTGCTAGTGTGGGAGCATGGCTGACATAGAACTCAGTAGTGACATTCCACAATTGCCAGGGTGTGTGTGGTGAGATCTGAAGCCCCAAATTCTCTTTCAAGCTGCGTGTTTTATTGGAGAGGAAGAGTTGCATAAGCAAGAGGTCATTTTTGTAAGGACTGTAGGCATAATCATAAATCTTTGCTGTTGCAGCTGTACACCGAGAACCCCTTTTGTTCTGTAATCAATCTAGAATAGGCCCTTCATGCAGGGAACATGAGGAATTTCATACATGAATATTTAAATCTTTTACTGTAACAAAACAGAAAAATGTGTTTAGAACGTGATAGGCAGCTAAAATTATCATGCCCGCCAATTAGGAACAGAATTTAGTTAAAAAATATTTTTCCACTTTTGAAACACTTTGTAAACACACATATCTATGAAAAGATGCTTTGTCAGTAACTGTGCTTTTTTTCTGTGAAGACTGAAATGTGCATTCGTATGTATGTGTGAGTGTATATATATATATATGGATGTGTGTGTATTTCAAATGTCAGCATATAACTCAGTTGGATTTATGATGGGCTTTGGAAATGATCCTGTCGTGTGCATAAAAAAGCCAACTGATGTGGAGAAAAAATAATGTTTTATATTGATAGGTATGCTTATACAAAATTTTTAGGTTTTAAACTATTTTGAAATATACAATTTTATATGTATAATATTTTCTATAGATAGATTCTTTAAGAAAGATATATTTATAATGTTTCTAATATAAAATCAGTAGACTCTAGTACATTATAACAGGTGCTTTATGATCTGAAATGGAGGCGGGGTGGGGGAAATTAGGGTATTTCTGTTTACTCGTTTCTGTGGCACCTTTTCTGAAATCTCTGTCTTGGTATGTGTTTATTAGGAAATCCAGTACCACCAGCTCTCATACTTCCTCCCCGTTCCTAGATTTGAATTCGTAAGGTTTTGAACAAAATGTTGTTTTTACTTTCCTGGGATTACCAAAGAGTTTTGTGTAGATTTGACTAGTAATCAATCACACGCCAAGTCCTCTCCAGAAATTAAAAAATACTTGTGCTCATTCTCTTAATTATGATTCAGTAAAAACAGTTTAAATTACTTTTTTCTTTTTTACACTGGGAAATATGCTCTGTTAACATTTTCAGTGAAAACTTCTTATAATAGCGCCTTTATTTTATGCTCGTAAAAAAGAGAGAAGATACTTTATGAATGACCATATAAAGGCCACTCCTGCCCTACAATTCACAAAGTAGCTATGCAAATTCAAGTTTAAAAACTATTTATGAGAAAACTTGTATTAGAGCTTTTGATATGTACTGAAATACAGATTATTGCTTAATCACATTTTCCACAGAGATGAACATCAAGAAAACTAAGACCGAAACGTCATTTGGAGTACATACATTAAAGAAAAACTAATGTTCATATGTATTACTCTTACTAGCCATAGTTGATGGGAAGTATCCATTTGAGAATTATCTTCCTTTAAAAGACAAGAGCCTCTCTTCTTTTAATTTTTCAGAATAAAAGATTTTTTTAACTTTTTTATTTTAAAAATGAGCCAGAATATTTTCTGAGTCCTGGGTATGTGCAGATAGTTGAACTATTTTGAACTAGAATCTGTGTTTGCCAAATTATCTTCTAAACTTACTTGATTGCTTAGCAGAGAGAATAAGGAAAAGTCATCACCCTCCAATACTGATAATGCTGAGGGAGCAGTCTTATCTTCTTTCCTCTTAAATCAGGGCATATTCTGAGATTACAAACCACATGATAAAATTGTGCCAAGATTCCAGCTCTCTTTTCCCTCTGGAGTTGCTTATGATTTTCTCTGCCCGATTTTCCTGACGTGCTTCAAGTGACTGTTGGTTGACACCAAAAATACAATTTGCACAGAATTTTAAAGGATTGTGTTTAGAGCATCCATCATGGAGTATTAAAACCCACATTATTAGTGTGAATTTTTGCTGGGGGTGTTGATGGTGGGGAGTGAGTTATTCTTTTTGCTAGTACCCAAATAGCGCCTTCTCTGTATGTTTTCCACTTACGTTCTCTAACATGTCCTAACATACCAAGGGAAGAAATACCAGAGTTCATGTAGTAAATGCCAGCACAGGTCATTGTTTAGTCGTGTAGATTTGAAAATAAGGCTGCTTGACTTTGTTGTTTAGCCGAGATTTTTTTTTCTTGTATAATTATATTTAAACATTTTTAAATGGCTTTCTGGTTTCTAGATTTCGAGAAGCCTATTCTGTTATTGTTGTGGTTGTTGGTTTGGTTTTTGTAACACTCATTATTGTTTATTTGTACACAGTTTAGTCTTACTGATTTCAAATGCATTTTGTTATGGCTCGACCCAGTTGGCAACCCTGTTTGCTGGGAGCACTATATTTAGCTGTATTCACCATGGCTGAAGCCACTGCCACAATCTTTGGCCTTAAAGAGCCTTCACTGACCACTGGGGCTCCTGGGGGCTCATAACCAGGCCCCCAGGCTGGCGTCAGGTTGAGGCAGCCTGCAAGTTGTGAGCATCTGTAGCTACCTCTGATGGGTGGGGTTTCGGGATGATGGGATAGGGTATGAAGTGAAAGACTTCACATGGAAGGAAGGTAGTTTGGGGTCCTTAATTTATGGTCTGAATATCTCATGAGTACATCAAGGTAAATGAGATGGACCAAGGAACCTCTATGACTCATGAAAAGGATGGCTGCTTCCTGAAACTGGCACCACAAGGCAGGGTCTAGCCCACTGCAATCCCTGGTGGACGCTGACAGCCGTGGGGCAGAAAGTACGGGGGCCGAGGCTCAGTTGGTAAAGAGTCTTGTTTTGCCAACAGGGCGGGTTTCTCAGTTGTCATAAACCCACCCCTGATTGACAGACTCTTCATCTTTGTTGTCCACTAGGGGTGCCCAATTGTTTTATTGCTTTATTTTGTTATCATTGTGCTTAATAGAAATTGTTGATAGGGCCCCAAACCCTGCAGAGATTCTTTGTAAAAATCAACAGATACATTGGACTTGTGCGAATGTAAAGATTTTTTGTTTAGTAGGTAATTTTAAATTTAAATGTTTTCAATGATAATCTGTGTTCCTTTTTACATATGAAGTTGGATTATTTTTTAGGATTTGTAATAAATAAAAACTGTTGCTGCTTTACCACTGTAAATATGCTTTCTAATGTGACCATGTATTTTTTAAATAAATTTTAATATGACTTATAATATAGTATGCATTTCTATCACACATAGCAAAAGCATACATTGCACACTTATTTAAACTGCTTTTTAATTTGGGAACCTTTAAAGCTCAGAAAGATAGTAGAATCTAAATTGAAACAATTGTATTGTTATGAATACTTACCTGGCAGCTTAGGGACTACAGTATGACTACTAAGTCTTATAGGAGACAAGAGATGTCTTCATGTATCCTCTATCCTCATGGCACATTCCAGAAAATATCAGTTGCTCCTGAAGTGTGCCACCCCAGGACCACACATGCCAGATCCTACCACTTCAACTGCCATCTAATGGACTGATTTCTGTCATTGGTTTTATCTGTAAGAAGCTTCTCAATGTTCTCCTGACCAAATCACAGCCTTAATGATCGGTGGTCAGTTCTGTATAACTAACAGAAGGTTTTTACAGTATAGTGACTATTCACCACCTTTAACCCTCTTTACCCTCTAACTGGGAGGGAGGAATCAGAGGGCTTTCTGACGTAGCTTGAAGTTATTTCGAATTGCAAATCTCTTGAATTAGCTTGCTTAATTTTGAAATGTCTGTTGTATACATTTAGTTCCTATTGATTCTAGTAAATGGGAGGGAACACCATGTTGAATTAAAAAAAGCTTTAATGTCAATTTAGCCAGCATTGAAAATCAAGCTAAAATAGCTAAGTTTTTGCCAAGTAGAAGCCTCAAACCTAACTTATCTAATTGTTGGCTTGATTAGGATTATTACCAGGTTTTGATGCCCACCTCTGCTCTGGTACCTGGGATCACATAAAGGAAGGGATCCTTCAGGAAGTGTGTCCAGGTTGTGCGTCCAGCCAGGAATCCCCTGGAGACAGGAACACCACCTCCTCAGTGTTTTTTTAAAGAAGGCCCCAGATAGGCTTCCTTTTTAGGCTGAGGCTTCAATACCCATAGATTGCTGAGAGATTGTGCTGAGAAGTTCCCGTCTGTCCATGTGGAAAGAGTAATTCATTTCATCTCATAAGATATATTTTAAAAAATTCTCAAAGACATACAAAAGTAACCAATTATCACATTGTCTTTTAACGTAGGTCAAAGTATGGGTGAAACTATCTAGAAAGAAACTCAGGTCAATACTGGTTTACGTACTTGAACCTTTCTAGTAAAAGATTTGTAGCCGATTCTTAAATACTTTTAGTACCAGTGATCTCAGATATCATAAACCCTGGGCAAAGAATCCTTGTTACTCTCTATTAAGACTGGAGCAGTTAACCTGAAGAGAAAACCTAAGACAGACTGAACTACTCTGGAGTACGATACAGATCGGGTGGGTTCACATCTCTACGAAGGGGAGCAAGCTCATTTCTGCGCTCTGGGTCCTTTGACCCACAAGCACTACAGCATTCTCAAGATTCAAGTTTCTGGGGTTTCCCCCGGGCTGAGTCTCCAGGTCTCCAGAATCTTTCCCCCTCTGCTGAGGCCTGATATTTCTTCAAGCAAGGGCTAATGGTTTCACCGCCCTGGCAAAAATCAGACTTAAAATGCCAATGTTCTTGGAAATGAAATATTGACTTAAATTGGCACCAAGTTGTAAATGACAGAAGATGCTTTTCAAAAAGTGAGCATATTGAGCAAGTAAGCAAGAGAAATCCAATAGGCCCAGGATAGTTGAAGTAGGAAAGTAAAGAAAAAGCAAAGCAAAGAAAGATGGACATTGCAAGTCCTTTACATTTCAGCTTGGAGTTGTCCATCTTCCCTTAGCCATTTAGAGGCTCTTATAACTAATGGACAGGTACTACATCTTTACAGCACGCTGTATCCTGGAGCTAAGAAAGTAATTTCTTTTGCCCTATCTATTTTCATTAGACCAAGGTCTGGGATCCCTCCTTACCCTATGGTGTCTCTTGATGAGGGGCTCTGGGAGCATCAAAAGTGTCTGGCATTTCTACTAGAATGAGAACCTCAGTGCTATATTTAAAAGACTAAAGTTAGCTCCCGCTAAAACTTTGAAGCATAAATTTAAAAAAAATTCATCTTGGTTGTGTTTCTACAGTTAATGAAGACTAGTTAGAGAAGTGAAATGTCCTTATATTGGGGATGGGGAGGGGATGTCGAAAATATTGGCCTATTTTCTTTTTCCTTTTTTGGCTTACCTAACAAATTCTTGATGTTCTGCACCACTTTGAAGAGGGGAAAAAGGTAGAGGGAGTAGAGGAGTAGGGAGATTTTTTCCAGACAGAGTAGTCATAGAAAACTACTATTAAATAAAATTTATAATGAAAATGCTACACATACAATAATTCACAAATAAGGAAATCATAATGGAAGCACTGAAATTTCACTTTGGCCTTTGGTAACCTGAAGGGATTGCTGATACTGCTTCTTGTCATCCATCAGATACGTATTATATCCCAATTTGTGCCTCTAAAGAAGATGGAAAGAAATATACTTTTAGACAAGTCTACAAGTGCAGCCTTCTTCCCACCCCTGGAGCCCACTCACTTCTCCCACTCTTCCGTTCCTGAGTTTTGCTTCTTTCTTGTGCTACTCTCCTCTTTTCTCTCCAACTCTTCGTTTGTTCAGCCATTGCTAGCGGCTACTGCCCTCACTCTTCAGAGAAAGGTGATAACACACAGTTGCTCAGATAATGCTGTGCCCTCCTAGTGTTGCCTGGACACTGTTTTTAAACGACCATTTCTGTGTTTTCGGCCTCCTCTCTTCCCACATCAGGAAGCAGCAATGATTCAGAGGAGGCTTGGGGTCCCTAATGTGTTCCATCCCTGAGCCACTCTGTGCTTCACGGGGGTGGATTATAAACACTAAAGGCTAGTGTAACCGTGAGGTGGAGGGAACAGAGGCAACAACGAAGAAAGAAAGAAAAAGTGGGTGTTGCAAGTAAAATGATCATTTATCTAAAAACCCAAGAGATCAACTGAAAACCATTTGGACTAACAAGAGGGTCCGTTAAGGGGACTGGATACAAAGAGACAAAAATTAATCATGTCTTAGGAAATCAGGCTTCAAGTTGTATATGACTTAGAGCTGTAAGACAATGCTTATTGTAACTGGCCAACATTACAGCAATTGTTGGAGAAAGAATGGAAAATACCAATGCAAACAGATTTTAAAAAATTCTTTCTCACCCTAGAGACAAGGCGAATGGGTTTTTATAGTGAAATACAACCCACAAAAAATACATCTTTGGCAGTTTTATTTTTCAAATTTAAAATCGTCTTGAGATTGTCTCGCTCAAGGATAATAAGCCTTGTGATTAATCAGCTACGTGTCTTGGAAAGCGCCCGTATTTCTTGGAACCATTGCTCCCAACCTAAAGGCCGTATGAGTTCCCTCGGGCTGCCACAATGAAGAACACAGGCTGTGGGGCTTAAACTATGTCAACCCATTTTCTCACAGTTCTGGAAGCTGGAAGTCTGAGCTCAAGGTGTTGGCAGGGGTGGTTTCTTTTGAGGCCTCTCTCCTTGGCTTGTGGATGGCCGTCTTCTCCCTGAATCTTCACATGACCTTCCCTCTGTGCCTGTGTCTGGGTCCACGTTCAAGTGTCCTCTTCTTATAAGGACACCAGTCAGATCGGATTAGGACCCAACCTAATGACCTCATTTTAACTTAATTACCTCTTTTAAGATCCTATCTCCAAATATGGTCAAATTCTGAAGAAATGGAGGTTAGGACTTCATCATTTAAATTTTTTTTTGCGGGGGGCAGGGGCGGGACACAACTGAACCCATGCTACAGACCTAACATATTTTTAGGTACCTAAATTTAGCTACAGTGTATGTGATATAGAAGAGGCTTGGGAAAGTAGAATTCCAAAATTATTTTCTATATAGCAGTTAACCAATCTGAAAAGGTAATGGGGGAAAATTTCATCCATAATAGCAAACAAATAAATAAGGAAGCAAAAATAAGAAATAAGCCTAACAATTAACAATCAAAAGTTACATGGAAAAAAAATAACTATGAGAATGTAATTATGTGTGTTTAACTATATAATTATACATACACATGTATATGTGTATACACACGCACATTTATGCAGCCCAAATTTGGCTAAAGTGTATTTGACATAAAAGAAGCTTGGGAATAGAGAATTCCAAAATTGTTGTCCTAATACCAAGTTTAACCAATTATAAAATATAATGGGGATTTAAAAGAAGACTTGAATAAATGGAAAGATACATAATGTTATACATGCCTGGCTGAGAAGACTCAATATTATAAATATGTCCATTCTTCACTTAAACATAAATTCAGTGCAATCATAATCAAAAATACAATAACGTTTTTACAGAGACTGACAAGCTGATTCCAAACTTCATCTGGAAGAGAAAATGTACAATGACAATTAACAGAAGAACAATGATAGGGGCATCCTTTGCCCAAACAAATAACAAAACATACTGTAAATCAGCACCAATTAATGCAATGTGGTATTTCTAGAGGTATAGATAATGAGATCAAGAGAACAAGACAGACAGAAGAGAAACAGCCCGATGTACATACGGCATTTAACATACACTAAAAGTCAATTCAAAAAGATGGAAGACGGACAAACCATTTAATAAACGATAGTGTGACATTGACCATCCAACTGGAAACACATAAAATTAGATTTCTAACTTGGGATACCAAAAAAAAAAAAAATCGTAGAAGAATTTAAAGACTAAAAATGAACACAAAATTATAAAAGTTTTAGATGCAACTATAAAATAGTTTGATAATTTGAGGCAGATGAGAGCCACCTAAGGAGATATAAAACACAGAAGCCATGACGGGAGTTACTAAAAAATGTAATTGCTTAAATATTTGTTATAATTGCTTGAAGAAAGGCATCATTAGCAAAACTAAAACACAAGCAAAGGATTAGAAGAAAATGTCTGCAGTATGTCTAACATCCCAGAGCTTCCTAGCCAGAGTAGAAGATTCTGCTACTCTAAGACATACAATAAAAAGAACTCAATTTTCAAAAATAGGCTAATACAAATGGCCGACAAAAACATGATAAGATGT